TATGCTTGTCAAGTGTCTGTTGAGTGTCGTGCATGTGCCAGGTACTCGGCTTGCCCCGGGAGTAAAGCAGACAGCCTCTGTCTCCCGTAAGTGGAAAAGGCAGATGGAGAATGAGGAAGTGGACACACAAACCCAGGGTGCACACTGGGCACAGCAACAGAGGATAACAGGGTCGCACACCCGTCTGATGGAGTGGAGCTCTGTCAGAGGAGGTGACGTTCAAGCTGTGACCCAAGGAGTAAGGCGTCAGCTGTGCAGAGGGCTCTAGGTGGGAAAATACATGACGCCTGGAGAGGGAGCCTTTGTTCCAGGGCCACGAGCCTGTGTGACCCCCGCAGCAACCCTGCCAAGCCAGGCCGGTGCTCCTGTGGAGACTGAGGCCCAAGCTGAGTGGGCACAGGAAGAGGCAGGCACAGGTCTGGCCAGTGGGGACTGGCCTGATGGCTCTGTGATCGGGCTTCCACGCTGTTGCCTTGTTCTTTCTCATTCTAGAGTGGGGGGTGGTGGTGTACTATGTACACTTTGAGACGAATCAGTGCAGTAGCCAGCCTGCCCGCTGCTTTCTCTCACAGGCTCATTTGGGAAGTCTGGATGCCTTTTGTTCGAAATATTGTCACCCAGTGGCAGCCAAGGAACTGTGACCCGATGGTGGACTTTTTGGATAGCTGGGTGCACATTATCCCCGTGTGGATCCTAGATAACATACTGGACCAGCTCATCTTCCCCAAGCTGCAGAAAGAGGTAGGGCCCAGAGTCGAGGAAACAGCTGTCTGTTGTCAGTAACCTTGGGGACTTGTTCAGCATTTCTCTTCATGATCTCAGTGCTGTTAAAACGCCTGCAGTTAACAGAATTCGTCAGCACAGCTACTGTCCTATAATGCTAACTCCAGCCTTTTCTCAGCACTTTTTTCCTCAAAGCCACCCTTAATAGAGAATTCATTTTCTTGGTTTCTTTAATAAAATTAAATTGTGCCATTTCTGAGATTTAATACCACTTCATGGGTATGTTTGTTTGTAGGTCAGTGTCTCTGTTTTGGGGAAATGTAGTGCAAAATGCCTACAAAGCACCTTGGCAGCCTCTTTGTACCTAATGTGTCCCCCACACGTGGAAAGGACTGTGGACCTTGGCCAGGAGAGCATGTGGCCTCCACGCCATTAACTACACAGGGTGTCTGTCCTGCCTGCCCCACAGGCTGCATGAACTGTTTTTCCCCCACTCCTGCAGGTGGAGAACTGGAACCCGCTGACGGACACCGTCCCCATCCACTCATGGATCCACCCGTGGCTGCCCCTCATGCAGGCGCGCCTGGAGCCGCTCTATTCCCCCATCCGCAGCAAGCTGTCCAGCGCCCTGCAGAAGTGGCACCCCAGCGACTCCTCGGCCAAGCTCATCCTGCAGCCCTGGAAAGATGTCTTCACCCCTGGCTCCTGGGAGGCATTCATGGTCAAGAACATAGTGCCCAAGCTGGGTAAGGAAATGGGAAAACGCATCCAAGTCTGGCACCTTCGGTGCCCTGGTTTCTGCGGCCAGCAGTAATGATCGTGCTGCTTAAAACACGGACTTTGAGCTCTCTGAAAAGGCTTAGCACACACGGGTTCTCACCATAAAAGCGGGGCCATCTTGTGTACTGAGGCTGAATGTGAATGTAACCAGGGTCCTTTCTGCTGCTCAGTTACAGCAACAGCTAAACGGCTGTAGTGACTAGTCAGACTCAGCGTGCCTCCCAGTTCCTGATGGGTTCGTTTGCGCTTCTGGTAACAGGATAGCTATTGGTGTTCTGAAATTTGTGATATCTGATTCAAAATATATATCACTTATCTCTGGGTTAGAGAAAAAAACTTTTTAAGAATTGCTGTGTCAAGAGCTTAAAACTGACCTTTAAACGCAGATCAAAGACTGCCATTGTCTGGTGAGGATTTTGCTCTTTGTGTGTCTGTGGGTTGGCCATAGAGACTGGGTTTGTCTTCCAGGGATCTGTCTCGGAGAGCTAGTCATTAACCCCCACCAGCAGCACATGGATGCTTTTTATTGGGTCATCGACTGGGAAGGGATGATCTCCGTCTCCAGCCTGGTGGGGCTCCTTGAGAAGCACTTCTTCCCCAAGTGGCTTCAGGTACACTTGGTTTTGTTGGGGGTGGGAGAATTCAGTTAATTTTTTGCTCAGGTCTGACTACAGGTGCACGATCCTTGGATAACCCTCAGGTGATAGTGCTTTATGTAACAGAAATAAATCACATGGGACGGTAGGAATGAGTTGAGCGGTAACAGCGACCACCAATTCTTCAACATCTGCTGCGTGCCAGATGCTGGTGGAAGCACTTTATTTGCGTTATCTCCACTCCTCACCACAGCCCTTTGGGGCAGGGCCTGCGGAATCCCTACTGGATAGACAGCAGGCTGAGGCTCAGAGTTTACATGCAAGGGCACTCAGCTACCAAGCTGACTCCAAATTCCAGACTTGAAAGTACCAGACTGTTCAGCCCCTATGATCCCCCTACAAGTGTCACCAGCTCATAGGACCAGAATCAAAACAAAACAAATAGCCCCTTTGGAAGTTCTGCTCTCAATTGTTGCCAGTGCGGATGCAAGTTTCTTATTTGTTCTTTTTGGCAGGTGCTGTGCTCCTGGCTCAGTAACAGCCCCAATTATGAAGAGATCACCAAGTGGTACCTGGGTTGGAAGTCCATGTTCTCAGACCAAGTGCTGGCACACCCGTCCGTCAAGGACAAATTTAACGAAGCCCTGGATATCATGAACAGGGCGGTGTCCTCCAATGTTGGTGAGTGGGGATTCTGTTTGGGTGTCCTGGCCTGAGCTCCGTGTTTCTGAACACACGTAAGTGACACAGAACCAGAGCGTTCAGGTACCTGTAGGCTGCCTAGAGCCTAGCTCACCCCCTGCTCCACAGACACTGACTCTCACCCACTGGCTTTGGCTGTGTAGTTAGCTAGCACCCCCTGCCCAGCTCTCCTGTGACTGGGAGGGGTGTTTTCCCTGAATGGAGTCTGACTTAATTAAGCTGGACTCCCACTATGGGGTCTACCTCCAGGGCCCACCTTCATAACCACTGTGCTGGGGAGCTCTTAGGGTTCCTTCGTGCATCTGCTCGGCCACCGTGGGCATGCTGCCCAAGTGTAACAGCCCACAGCGTGGAGGCCAGGCAGTTTAATGCTTAGTAGGTGCTGAACCGCTCTTAGCCCCGTTGTCTTTAACTGTAGACAGTATTAGTACCTACTTCTAGGTTTCTCACAGAACCTAGAGGGATTAAGAGAGTTACTGTTGGTGTATATACAGCACTCACTGGGTGGTGTCTTCGTTGTGTCAGAAGTAGGCAGCTGACTGTTCACTTAATATCTGTTCCCACAACTACTCGCTTCTAAGGAAGTCATGGCCGACATCAGGAGTTTGGGGAGTCTACTCAACCAGCCCTGTGTCAGTGTGCTCACCTCTCAGAGCAGAGGCCACCGGAGCACCGAGTCTAACCTTGTTTCACAGATGAGCTCAACAAGGCCAAACACTTGTTCAAGGTCACACAGCTACAGAGGCAGCAGGGACTGTAATTTCCATTTCCTGAGCCTTTAACTCTTTCTACTTAACCTATTACATGAAAACAAAGTGTTAGAATTCATGGATTAGATACCATTTACTGAGGCAAATACACGTCTATGCTCTCTACTTATCCATGTCTTTCAAGGGACATCAATAGGCTGTCTTCATTTTCATACTTGCTAGAAATTCTTCCTCGGCCACCCTGGCCCCAAGCTCCTGGAACTGTCCCCCATCTGTACCCCTCAGTTAGCACTGGGCATTTGGGGTCCTACATTATCCTTCAACATGTATGTTTTAGCTCCCCATATAGATTTTCACTTCTTCCAGGGCCAAGGGCCTGTCTGGGTAAGTTAAAAAGATCTCCAGGAGAGGCCCTGTGTTTTTAAGGTTCTAAAAGCTGCCTTTTTAGCAGTATGGAGTGAAAACTCTACCAAGCAAGATGGGAACAGGATGGTGGCTAACTGTCAAGGTTCCCAGCCCTGAAAGGATAAGTCCCTTGTGGATGTATCGTTTTACGTTGAATATTTAATAATCTCTCTGGTTGGTTACCACATATTAGCCAGAAATCTTCAGGCCAGTTTCTATGTGATGGCAGCCAGTTGTCTGACTCCCCCAGAGGCACCTGACCCTCTGCTTGATTCAGTGCTGCGTGTCCTTGAGGCACAGCTGCCTTTCAGTGAGTCACAGGTAGGTTTCACCTGTGGCAGACCCGATTTCTGTACCTGCTGGAACAGCTCGCCTCACTCCCTGCCCTCTGTATCTCCCAGGGGCCTACATGCAGCCAGGAGCGCGGGAGAACATTGCCTACCTCACCCACACGGAGCGGAGGAAGGACTTCCAGTACGAGGCCATGCAGGAGCGACGGGAGGCCGAGAACATGGCCCAGAGGGGCATCGGCGTGGCCGCCAGCTCCGTGCCCATGAACTTTAAGGACCTCATCGAGACCAAGGCAGAGGAGCACAACATTGTCTTCATGCCCGTCATTGGGAAGCGACACGAAGGCAAGCAGCTCTACACCTTTGGCCGCATCGTCATCTACATCGACCGGGGAGTGGTATTCGTCCAGGGCGAGAAGACCTGGGTGCCCACCTCACTGCAGAGCCTGATAGACATGGCCAAGTAGACTGCAGTAGGCCAGGGCAGACTAGACACTCGCACCTGAGAGGGACATATTTATGAATAAACAAGATTTTAAACTGTCTTCCAAAGTGTAACATCTCTATTTAGGAGATACTCCCTGTCAGGCCAGGTCACCAAGGAAGGATGTAAAACATGAGAATGCTACTTTAAAAGTGCATAAAACTTTACACCAAGTCCTTCCGCAGCATATCATCCTCTCAACGGAAGAGCCAAGTTGAGGGATTTCCTGGTCTCTGCATCTGGCCCGCTGCAGAGAGGAGTTCTCTGCAGACCCTCTGTGGCGCCCTTCCCTGGAGTCTCTGGGGCAGCTGCCGCTCAGCCAACACCGGATGCACTACAGCGAGTTCAAGTCAGTAGCTGAAGGCTCTTCCGTCGTCTTGTTCCGTATGATTTCAAGGTCCTCACAGTCCTGATAATCGGGCTCTTCCCGAAACGCCCAAGTATCCATAGAGAGCTGTTGTAGTTTCTGTACGGGGAACCACTGGATGGCGGTATCATTGAACACGTCCATGTACTGTGAAGTCTGAGGCAACGCAAGCTCCTCCAGTCCCTGTAAAATCTGAGCAGAAAAATCCAAATGTAAAACGTAAAAACCTGGTGGTCATAGCAAACCCCACCCTCCTGGGCTATATTTCCATTTTACTGGTCACCACCCCCGACTCTGTTATACTTTTTAAAAAGTAAGGACTAGGATATTTTAAGTGCTTTTGTGCAATGAATTGGAAGCCCCAAGGGCAGTAGACATGTTGGACTATGATACTGAGAATAAAGGAAATTAGGAAAAAATGAAGAGATGTGCTAAAGTGCCATAGCTTTCTGGAACACAGACCCATGGAGAGAGCTCCCTGACAGAACAGTAACCTCACTGTGCCTTCAGTTAGCCCCTCATGAGCGTCCTCCCTCCTACACACCTGAAGGCAGCACTCCTCACGGTGAGGCAGAAAGTACAACTGCACACCGTTTTCCATCCCAGCCCTTCATCAGATAAATACCTTTGCAATGTAGGGGTAATTTTTCTGCAGAATACTTGTCAGCAACCTAGAAATAAAAATTAAAAAAACGTGATTAGGAGATGGATCATGAGAATGGCTTTATTCCACTTAAAACATAGAAAGGCAAGATGTTTTAAATAAACCAAGAATTTTTTTTAAATGTGGGATGTAGAGTGGGTTAAATAATCAGTAGGAAATGTGAATGCCCCAGTAACTGCCCATGTCATCGAGAAAAATGACAGAGCAGACCCACAGGCATCGTGAAACGGAGGGAATCGAGAGAAATCAAATGGTTTTTCCCATTTTTAAAAAACATCTCTGTCCATCATCAGGCAGGAAGGAATTACTGGCATAAAGATTCCTTAACTTGCTTCACAGCCTGTCTTCCATCTAACCCTTTGTCTGAACGTTTCTCCTTGGGGGTCAATCTGAGGAATGGGCTTCCCCTCGGGCCTGACAGAATCCCGGTGTTCTCAAGCTTACCTCTCCTCAAGTCCTTTGAAACTGTTCCCAATGATGACCATCTTGGACAGGGCATCTACTGACCAGTTACTCCATAAGAGATTGTTGTACAGGGCTGTCCCACAATGGAGCATGTAAAAGATGGTGGGCTCACCACAAACACTCCGTTTTCCTTCCTGGGGGTACAGTATGCACAGGTGTAACACACTTCTTACAACAAGGGGAGGGAGAGGTAAGGACAGATTAATAATGAGCTGAGAGTTCTCACATCAACACACACGTAATCATGTGAGGTGACAGATGTGTCACCTTAGTGTGGTAATCATTTCACAATATCGTGTATCAAATCACATTGGACACCTTAAACTTACAAAATATTATGTGTCAATTATATCTCAATACAGCTGGGAAAAAAATAATGAGCTGAGAGAAAGGCAAGTTCAAGTATCAAATGGAAAAAAAGAACGTTCCATTGTGGAAGAGTTACATTACAAGTGTGTATGGAATCTATAAAGCATGTGGGACTAAGAGGCGGGAAATCGTGATGTCCAGGAAGAACTCATGTTTACTTAACAAACGTGTGTCCCACACAGAAAGCTCTGGATTAACGAAGGGGCTTCTTGGGTCCGTGATAGCGAGAGGGACGGCAATGGTTACTGCCCCCCTGCACCGTGTTCAGTAACCCCTCATGCTTCCTGTGTCACTTGCTGCAGATCCCTATCACAATTGAGTCCTTTTCCAATGTCCCTTGGGGGTCACAGCTGCCCCCTCTTGAGAACCACTGCTCCACAGCCAAGCTCCTTGGCAGGGAACACGAGGCCCTCCCTTTGCTGTCTGGCCCCTGCCTACGTCCCAGCCTCTCCTCTCTCCCCTCTTCTCCTTGTGGCTTCCCTTATGTTAATAACAAACTGGCCACGGTTCCTAAGAGCCAGCTCTGCACAGGCCGCCTGCAATCCTGGTCCTGTCCTTCTAGCAAACTCCTGGTAGACCTTCAAATCCCAGCTCAGCCGCAGGAAACCTTCCTCCACCCCTGCAAACAGCCCAAATTTCCTTCCCGTCTCAACCCCCAGTCTATGGTTCTACCTCACTGTGCATTCGTCCTTTACTTGTTTATAGACCACATGGCTCGATGTGACTGTGGGCTCCATGAAGGTGGATCGGCTCCCATTCATCTTGGTCTCCCCAGAGCTCCTGGCCTAGCACAGAGCAGCACTCACAAAAGATGGTCTGGACTGAATGGCCGTGTTTTAGGAGCTTGCCTACATTGGCGAATGATTCCCTTCTCTCAGCAAGGCCTGATTTTCATGTTTCAGAATAAGCAACGAAATGGCAGTTTCAGAACAGAGAGGAAGCAAATGACCATTCTGTGAACCCCAAGACAATGCAAAACCAAATTCAGAGGCATTGGCCTATACTGGCTTCAGCCCTCTGCTTGTGAAATGAATTTCCTTTTTCCAGAGTTCTCAAGAAATTTCAAATCCCTGCCATTTTACAAGATGCCGGGGTGGCAGAGGATTTATCCACAACTCACAGCGAGGTGCTGTGGGTCTGACTGGGCTACAGCTCCAAAGAGGGATGTTCCACCCCTGTTATTCCCTCGCCAGGACAGGGTAAATTCCTACCAGAGGCCTCTTGGGAGGCACCGAGGCTGTGTGCCCTTTTTATTTTTTTCCAACTTAGCATAATTTCTGGACAGTGAATTCTCATAACAATTTTGCAAACCTAACATGTTCTGGTTCATGCCATTTGTGTATGTTTTTCTGACAGGTACAACATAGGCCAAAATGTGGGTAACTGGTCACATATTACAGGCACTGGGAAAGCAAGCAGTGCACAGGGATGACTGCTGTTTCAAAGAACACGTGCCCACAGGACAGAGCCTGGGGTCAGCAAGGTGAGCAGTTACACAGCCACCGGCTTCCCGTTACTAAAGCACTTACCTCATTCTCACTGAGGACAGTCACACCCAGGCTGCTAAGAACTGCAGTTTCGAGCGGGCTAAACAGAGGGTCATACACCCAGCAGTGACTTCTGGGGATCTGCAGAAGGGAAGAATGAGTGGTTTATTTGAACCCGAACATCTGTGTGCACAGCGTGTGCAAGACCAGGGGAGGGAGCGAGAAAGACGAATCTGAAAATCTACCTGGCACTTTTCCAGGAAGAGGAGCAAAAACGTTAGCTGGTTTCTAGCTATGACGCAGCTGGCAAAGTTCCCAATGCCGTAACACACACACTTCAAGTGGAAGCTTCCTGTGGCCAGGCTGTCTCCTGGGATGGAGCCTGTGGCTGCATCTGACTCACCTGGCGATGAGTCAAGATGCAGGTTTCCCAGGGCTTCCTCAAGAGTCCCCACAGGGGCCTTCAGCTGTTCCAGATGTTTTGTAAGACATCTGTTGATGGTTTCTGAAAGAAAAGGCCCCCCAGTACAGTCAGAGGGCACGCTCTGGCCCTGTGAACCAGGTTATCCACAGACGAAGCCCACAGACCAGGGAGAAAAGGAGCAAAGCGGTAAAGGCTTCAACTCCTCAGAGAGAAGTGCTGCTGGCCTCCCTCCCAAACACGCCTGGACACGCAGCCATGTCCACCAACACTGACAGGCTGTCCCGGTCCCCGCACACCCACAGCCTACAACCTAAGAGAATGTTTCAAGCAAAAATAGGTTTCATTTATGGGCAGTTTCCATCTAAAACTCTAATGTGAACTCATTCTAATTAATAGGAGGCTCCTGGTAAATGCAGGTTAAGCTCTGAAGTACCTACTTTTTTGATTATAAGAAAGAATAGAGGAGTAGAGCTCTCAAAATCACACAATAAATGGCTGGGAGTAAATGGCTGTAAAAAGGTCAAAGAAAAATGGTAGGCTGGGGCTTCTACAGCCTAATGGAAAATACTGTTTAAATCTTCTCATGTAGTGGTGGATTCTCTTGTCTCTCCTTTTAGCATACTAGTCCTGAATTTAGTTGAACACATCTGTATGCAAAACAAAACAAAAAGGAAAAAGCCATACATTGTCACAGGATATTAATTTTCACTTGTTAGCAAAGATATCTTTAACTAAGACTCCAGGCTAGGAAAGGTTGCATGAAAAGCTGGCTCTTTTAGTCCTTGCTGCTAAAAGAATTGACAAAAGCTTCTTGAAAAACAACTTGACGATGGATATCAAGTTGGTCCCTGCCTTTCACTTAATAATTTCACTTCTGGAATATATCCTAAGAAGATCATCTTAAATTTGGTAAAAGCTTTATGCATAAAGGTGCTCATTGCAAAGTTATGTATAATAACTAAAAAACAAAGAAAACAAACTAAATGTCCCTCAATAAAAATTATAACTATAGTATGTTCACTCCATGTATTAATATTTATGTTGCTACACACATCGTTTAGGAAGAGTATAACTGCATGGGGGGAAAAAGTCTCCATTGTAACGTCAAGGAAAAGAGCAGGATAAATTTAATTTAAACAATAAGGATAATGACACCTAACACTTATTGCTTCTTGTGTGGCAGGCAAGCACTATTCTAACCATTTAACTAAATGGTCTCATTTAACACACAAAATTATAACACAGGATATGCACAGTATCATCTCCATTTCACAGATAAAGCAACTGAGGGTCAGACTTGGTTAAGGGCCAAAAGACCACAGCTGTGAGGGGAAGTCAGAACTAGCACCCAGCATGTACACTGCTCTGTGAAGCAAAACGTCATCTAATGAGGCTGGATTCCTTTCTTTGCCCACATTCAGGCCCTCCTCCCACCCCTACTGCCCCCAGCCTTGGCCAGGCGGTACCCACCTAGTGATGAACTCCAGAAATCAGAGATAAGCAGGTCCTCCCTGTTGAGAAAAAATGGCATGGTCATCTCTCATCCTTTTCAGGGCTACCCTAACAGTGAGACCCTCCTCCAGACCATGAGCTGGATGCGGGGAGGAGGATGGAGTGCCCTCAGACGCAGAGCCCATCCTTGAGTGACAGGAGGAGGAGACACAGTGAACCGGTCCATAGCAGTACGGCTGGGGCTCAGAGAGGGCAGGAGAGAGGGCTTCCTGGGGGAGGTCTCTGATTCCTGCGGACAGGTCTAGGGCTGTTCTGTATCCTTGGTCCACAACAGAGCCTAGCACAGAGGCACAGCTCCATAACTACTCGTTAAATGCACAGATTGAGCCTCTCTGAGCTTCAATTTCTTCACCTCTAAAATGGGGATAAGAATTTTACCTATCATGGAGTTGTGAGAGGGATTAAATGGGTTAACACTTGGCACAGTGCCTCGCACATAGCAGGTACTCAATAAACAGCCTTTGTTACTATAAATAATTCCAAGGCGAAAGTAAAAGAAGAGACAAAACGAAGTGTCTGGGCTTTCTTAAATCATGTCAGCTGGTTTCCACAAACCCAAAAGTGAATTAAAAAGAACTGAATGAATTCTCCAGTCAAGGGACAGAATGGCTGAATGGATAAAAAACCAAGATCCATCTAAAAGAGACTCGCTTGAGATGTAAGGACACAGACTGAAACTGAAGGGATGGAAAAAGATGTTTCATGCAAATGGAAACCAAAAGAAAGCTGGGATAGCTATTATCAGACAAAATAGACTTTAAATCAAAGACATACCAAAATTTATGGGCTGCAGCAACAGCAGTTCTAAGAGGGGAGTTCATAACGATGAATCCCTACCTCAAGAAACAAGAAAAGGCTCAAATAAAGAACCTAACTTTACACTTAAGAAACTAGAAAAAGAAGAACAAGCCTGAAGTTAGTAGAAGGAAGGAAATACAGTCATCTGTCACTGAACGATGGGGATACATTCTGAGAAATGTGTTGTTAGGTGATTACACTGTTGTGCAAACATCATAGAGTGACTTACACAAACCTAGATGGTACAGCCTACTACACGCCTGGGCTGTATGGTACTAATCTTACGGGAACACTGTTGTCTATTCAGTCCATTGTTGACCAACACGTCATTATGCGGTGTGTGACTGTAACAACGGTTAGAGAAGAAATAAACGAAATAGAGACTAAAAAGACACTGGAAAAAAATCAATGAAAGTAAGAGCTGGTTCTTTGAAAAGATAAACAAAATTGACAAACCTTTAGCTAGACTCACCAAGAAAAAAAAGAGAGGACTCAAATAAAATTAGAAATGCAAGGGGAGATATTACAACTAATACCACAGAAGTACAAAGGATCATAAGAGACTACAATGAACAATTATATGCCAACAAATTGGATAATCTAGAAGAAATGAATAAATTCCTAGAAACATACAACCTACCAAAACTGAATCATGAAGAAACAGAAAATCTGAATAGACTGATTACTAGTAAGGAGATTGAATCAGTAAACAAAACCTCCTAACAAACAAAAGTCTAGGACCAGACAGCTTCACTGGTGAATTCTACCAAACATTCAAAGAAGAATTAATACCAATCCTTCTCAAACTCCTCAAAAAAACAGGAGAGGAGGGAACTCTTCCAAATTCATTTTATGAGGCCAGCATTACCCTGACACCAAAAACTGATAAGGACACCACAAGAAAAGAAAATTACAGGCCAATATCCGTGATGAACATAGATACAAAGATCCTCAACAAAATACAAGCAAACCAAATTCAACAATACATTAAAAGTATCATACAGCACAATTAAGTGGGATTTATTCTAGGGGTGCGAGGATGGTTCAGCATCTGCACATCAATCCATGTGATACATGTTAACAAAATGAAGGATAAAAATCATACAGTCATCTATACAGATACAGAAAAAGCATCTGACAAAATTCAACATCCATTTATGATAAAAACTTAACCAAGTGGGTACAGAGGGACAGAACCTCAACATAATAAAGGCCATATATGACAAACCGCAGCTAACAGCGTACTCAGTGCTGAAAGCCGAAAGCTTTCCTCTAAGATCAGGAACAAGACAGGGTGCCCACTCTCACCGCTCCTATTCAACACAGTACCAGAGGGTTTAGCAGGACCAGTTAGGCAAGAAAAGGAAATAAAAGGCATCTACATTGGAAAGGAAGAAGTAAAACTGTCACTATTTGTGGATGACATGATTTTATCTACAGAAAACCCTAAAGAGTCCAAGAAAAAAACCTGCTGGAACTAATAAACAAATTCAGTAATGTTGCAGGATACAAAATCTGTACACAAAAATCTGTTGTGTTTCTATATACTAATAATGAACTATCACAAAGAGAAATTAAGAAAACAATCCCATTTACAATTGCATTAAGAGAACAAAATACCTAGGAATAAATTTAACCAAGGAGATGAAAGACCTGTATACTAAAAACTATAAGACATTAAGGAAAGAAATTGAAGAAAACACAAATAAATGGAAAGATATTCCATACTCATGGACTGGAAGAATTAATATTGTGAAAATGTCCATACTACCCAAAGCAATCTACAGATTAAATGCAATCCCTATCAAAATTCCAATGGCATTTTTCACAGACAGAGAACAATCCTAAAATTTGTGTGGAACCAAAAAAGACCCTGAATAGCCAAGGCAATCTGGAGACAGAAGAACAAAGCTGGAGGCATAATGCTCCCTGATTTCAAACTCTATGACAAAGCACAGTAATTAATATAGTATGGTCTTGGCATGAAAATAGACCCATAGATCAATGGAACAGAATAGAGAGCCCAGAAATAAACCCACGCATATGTGGTCAATTCATTTTCGACAAAGGAGCCAAGAATATACAATGGGGAAAGGACAGTCTCTTCAATAAATGGTGTTGGGAAAACTGGACAACCATACGCAAAAGAATGAAACTGGACAACTATTTTACACCATCAACAAAAATCAACTCAAAACGGATTAAAGACTTGAATGTAAGACCTGAAACCATAAAACTCCTAGAAGAAAACACAGGGGAAAAGCTCCTTGATATTGGTCTTGGTGGTGATTTTTTGAATCTGACACCAAAAGTAAAAGCAACAAAAGTAAAGATAAACAAGTGGGACTACATCAAACTAAAAAGGTTCTGCACAGCAAAGGAAACCATCAACAAAATGAAAAGGCAACCTACAGAATGGGAGAATATATTTGCAAATCATGTATTTGATAAGGGATTAATATCCAAAATATATAAAGAACTCATACAACTCAATAGCAAAAACCAAACAACCTGATTAAACAATGGGTAGAAGATCTGAACAGACATTTTTCCAAAGATGACATACAGACGGCCAACAGGTACATGAAAAGATGCTGAACATCATTAATCATCAGGGAAATGCGAATCAAAACCACAATGAGACATCACCTCACGCCTGTTAGAATGGCTACTATCAAAAAGACAAGAAATAACAAGTATTGGCAAGGATGTGGAGAAAAGGGAACCCTTGTGCACTGTTGGTGGGAATGTAAATTGGTGCACCCACTATGGAAACAGTAGGGAGGTTCCTCAAAAAATTAAAAATAGACCTACCATATGATCTACCAATTCTACTTCTAGGTATTTACCCAAAGAAAACAAATACACTACCTTGAAAAGATATCTGCACCCCCATGTTCATTGCAGGATTATTTACAATAGCCAAGATATGGGAACAACCTAAGCATCCATTGATGGATGAATGGATAAAGAAATTGTGGTATATATACAATGGAATACTACTCAGCCATAAAAAAGAATGAAACTTTGCCATTTGTGACAACATGGATGAACTTGAAGGCATTATGCTAAGTGAAATAAGTCAGACAGAGAAAGACAAATACTGTATGATCTCACTTATATGGGGAATCTAAAAAACAAACAAAAAAACCTGAGTTTATAAATACAGAGAACAGACTGGTGGTTGCCAGAGGTGGGGGGAATAGGGGGTGGGTGAAATGGGTGAAGAAAGTCAAGAGGTACAAACTTTCAGTTACAAAATATATAAGTCATGGGGATGTAACGTGCAGCACGGTGACTGCAGTTAATAATAATGTATTGCATATCTGAAAGTTGCTAAGAGAGTAGATCTTAAAAGTTGTCATCAGAAGGAAAAGAAATTTTGTCAAAAAAAAAAAAAGAAAAGATGGATTTAAACCAACAAGCCATAAGCCAGCGTTCGGGGGCTCAGAGAGGAGACAGAATTGGAACAGTCTGCCCAGAGGCTGCCCTCACGTTCCTCACAGAGGGCAGAGGAGAGCTCTAAGGGTCAGGGGGAGCTTTGTAAACTGGCGAGTGCCTGCTCAGAACGGCACGTGAAGTGCTGGGCTCCTCTGTACAGAGCGACCGCGACTGCACCACACTTGGGGGTGCAGGTAGAAGCAGGGAGCTCCTGGGGGACACTGAAGCGACCGAGGAGGAATAACAATGTCAAGGCATATGGAAAGCGCCTTAAGGGCTCTCCAAACCCCTAGGCACACTCATTCTGGTTGGCATCTCTTCCGAAAGCCTAGAAAAGTCGCTGCTGCCTTTTCTCAGGCTCAGGCAGCCGGTGAGCCAACTGCTTTCTTCCAGTGCTGACCTCGGAGTCACCACCGCCTCCCGACCCCAATTCTGGGGGAAGGCAGCACATAAAATGAGTCTCATTTCTCAGGCCCTTCAGCTGTTGATCTGAAGAAGCGCTGAGACCAGCTGTCATTTATTGAGCTCCCGGAGGACTGCAAACAAATCACTGCAAACGCAAGTGGGGAACACTTGCCGAGTGCTTCCTTGTGTTAGGCACTAAGTACTGTGTAAGGCACGCTTAGCAAGGCGTGGAGGGACGGGCGATGGGGGGACCCGCATAACGGGGGCTGCGGAGCACGGTTTCGGAGCCGCCAAGTCCCGGCTGCGCTCCGTCTGCGCGCGTCCCGTATCTCCGTAAGACTCGGCGCCCCGCCAGGGTCCCCGCGCAGCCGAGATGCTCACGCGGGGACGGTGTGGGACGCTTACGCCAGGGCCAGGCACGCAGCAGCTCCTCGGTCAACTGGTGACACTCGTGCAGACGGCCACCACGTGCTCGTGTTGCTTCCCTGGTGTCGGCAATGCCAATGCCAACCGACACCGGCATGATACTAACACCAAACACTGGTACTGCGCTGACCACGCACCAGGCCCTGTTCGAAATGCTCCACACTGACTAATTCACTGACTCCTCAAAACAAGCCTACGTAAGTACTATTTCCATGTCCACCTCACAGAGGAGCAAACTGAGGCACAGAGCTACGTAACCCGCGCGGGGTCACGCAGCTGTAATTGCAGTCAGTGGAAGGACAGCCTTTATCGAGCGCCGACTACGCTCCCGTCTGTAAGGAGCGCGTTAGCTGCGTTACGAAAGGGGAGCTCACAAGACCCCCTTTCAAGGGTCTGCAGTTACGCCCACTCTACAGATGGCGAGACTGAGGCTCAGAGAGGGTTCCCACAGGCGTGAGGGTGCCAACTCAGGGCCCACCTGGCACTCACCCGGCCTCCCGAATGCGACGAAGCACGACCCCACGGTCCGCCTCGGGCTCCGCTTCCGGGCCCCGGGCCGCCGCCTCTCTCCGCCGCGGGCGGCGCGCCGCAGAGCGCTTCCTCCGCGGAGCCGCGACCCGCCAGGCATCCAGCGCCGCCGCCATGGCCTCTGACGTCATCGGCGCGCGGCGCGCCCGGCCTGCGTCATCGCCGCGCGCCGGCTGCCCTGGAACTTTAGGGGGCGGTAGGCGCGGGCGGCGCGTGACCCTGCGGCCTGTCCGTCACGCGTAGGTACGGGGCGGGGGTCGCCGGCGCCCCCGCTCTGGGTCCCGACTCCGAGCCCCGGGCCGCCTGGCTACTCCGGCAGGCGGGCGGCGCGGGGACACCGAGGGCGGCACCGGCCGAGAGCGCCTCTCCGCGGCCCCTGCGCGCCCTGCCAGGCCGCGGTCGGACCGCGCGCCTTTGCCCGCCAGTCCCCAGCCCGCTGGGGCTGGGCACTTCCCAGTGCTCGTGGACGGTGGCCGGTCGCCCCGGGGCCCCTCGCAGTCATTAGCGCCCCCTTTCCTGCCCCGCTGAGTCGCTGAGGCCGCTTCCTCCGCCGCCGCCGCCCCCAGGCCACTGTCGGCCACTTCTTGACCCCCTAGGTCCTTACTGCCGCTTCCCAGGTTGCCGGAGCCTTCTCTGGTCACATCCCAACACCTGCCCTACCCGAGGCCATCACCGACCTCTTCTGGACCTTTCGGAGATAAGAGAGTGGACTTTGGCAGTTAGGGCCCAGGGGGTAGGGGGTTTCAGGCTGCTGTCATTGGTTCTGAAAGCTTAGATGGCCCCCCACAAGCGTCCAAATATGCTTCAAAGAATACCATGAGTATCACCCTGCGGAGGCCCACCCCAAGATATCTGGAACTGAGAAAGATTTTACAGGCCATCAGGGATTCAGTGGGGTCCTCTCTTGGGACTTCTCTTTACCAAAGGAGCTTTGAAAAATTCTGTTGTGTTCCCAGGAGGCTGACATGGTGAGCAAGCATTTGAAACCGTGTCTCTGGGGACATTAAGCTTGGAGAAAGTGACAGTGGGAATACAGTTTTGAAGGGACCGAAGGGCTGTGGTGTGGAAGGATTAGACCTTGTTTTGTTTTCCTGGAGAGTGTCGTCCAGACTGATGTGTGCAGTTTCTGGAGGCCAATTTTAGCGAGGTGGAAGGATAAATTGAACACACTGAACTGCCTGTCTCTGGAGGGAGTAAGCCAGAGACAGTGCAGGTAATTTCTGAAGAAGAGTACAGAAGATGAGGATTAGAATAGATGAAGCCAGGGTCCCTTCTCACCCTGAAATTCCATGATACCCTGAGTTTTCTTTCCTCTTGTGGAAATTTGAAAGCCACGTGTTAAATTCTCTTTTTGTCTTTTGGAAACGCCCTGTGGAATTCTACGTGTTCAGATTACTTTTGGACAAGGTGACAGTTCCTTAATTTGAGTTCCATTATTACTGGAGCAACCGCCTTATTTGTTTAGCTGCCCTTGACACCCAGAGCATTTTCACACCAGTTATTTATTTTTAGCTTCTATGAGACATAACTGCTCAAGAGACTAAGGGACTTAATCTGAAGTCCTGCAACCCTCTCTTCTGTCTCTTGAAACACAATATTCAAGTTTCTAGAAAGCTCTTTGGAAGTATACCATTTGCTTAACCCTGCTGGGTCACATGCCCTCTCGTGGGTTTCTGAAATAATCTATCCCTTGTGTTTATTTTATGACTAAGGCTCTGATGTTTGAACGGGAAGCTTCAACACTTTTAAAAGAAACTTCAGAATGGCTTTGAACCAGACGAGCTAGAAATCACTTCAGGATACCGCCTTCAGCATGCATCTCCCCTGGTGGGCTTTCCTGGCGAGGAGCTCTTTGAAGAGATCGTTCTGCAGAGAACCGGAGAGCTGATGCTCATGGAACCAGATGAGTGGATTTGACTTTTCTGGTAGGATTCTCTTGCTTTATTATATTCTCTCCCGGAGTTCTAAGAGGTGTGGAGGTATTCATGGAACGGACGGGCCTGCAAGGAAGGGAAGTAGCACTTTCATGCTGAATGAAGACTAAGCAAGTAACGGTTGTGACTGAAAACACTTAAACCGCCCACGTCCAGAGTCACTGGATTGGGGACGCAGAGGAACGGTCACCGCTGGAGAGAAAGAAGTGATACTGGAAAAGAAAACCCAAATGAAGAGAATGAGGAGAACTGGGAAGTAAATGGCCGCCTCCAGCTCAGCAGAGACGAAGCCCGCCTCCTGGTGAGTAGCAAGGCCTGCCTTGGTTCAGATCCTGCCAGGCTGCTGGGCAGGTTTGGGGTTAACTGAAAATCCCCAGCCAGAATGTCTTGATTTTATGAAGGAAAATAAAAATGCCATTTTCCTCAGAGCAGCTGAATCGAGTGTGTGAGCCATTTCTCTGACATGTTAGAACCTCGCAAGCCTCTTGTGGTGTTCGAATGAGTCCAGGATTGCTGGTAGATTGTAGAAAAGGGAGCCACGTGGCCAGCTTTGATGATAATGTGGGCATGGTAGTCTTCACTTTTGAGAGACAAGAAATGGTTACAGTGCAGAATTACGCCACGAGAAGAGCTTTGGCTAGACTGGCTCTTGAAGGGGATTATACAACGTCTGCCTGAAACTCAGTTCCCTTCTCAGCCCCAGACGAGTTAAGCCTCTTTTGTAACTTGGTCCAGCAGACATTAACCAAGGAGATGACAGTGAAAGGCATGGTTCAAATGGAATGAGCAGAATTTAGTGACTGATTATATGTGTGGAAGTCAAAAAGATGGAGCAGTTCAAAATGACACCCAGGTTTTCTTTTATGTGCCTGGAAGAGTAGGGGTAAGAGAAAGATAGAAAAGATAGAACAAGGCCTGGTCATCGGGTTTCTGAGTTGGGTTTGAAACATTTTTGAGGCTTTTTGATCTGGACTTGCCCTGCAGCTAGTTGCTCATCTGGACCTAGAACTCAGGGAAAGCAGATTGTGCTAGAAACAGAGTTAATGCTTGTCACCAGGAAGATGAGGTGGGAGCCAGAGTGGATGGTCGGGGGAGGGCGTAGATCCAGGGAAGAAGAGCGCAGGTGACAGAGTGGTCCTCTTAAGCTCCTCGTATGCTCTCGCTGGATACGTGTGCTTTCAGAGATTTAGAGGCAAAACCCAGGTCCAGCATTTGGGGAGTTGGCTTTGTGTCTTAAAGAGGTAATTATAGTCATCCTGCCTAGTTGACTCTAAGAGTCTTTAGGGAGGAACCAGACAGTTACGGAAATTGAGAAGAGTGATACCTCTGCATGGGGACAGTCAGAGGTTTGAGTTATACTTAAAGGACTGGTGAGGGTTTGAGGGGCAGAACGGGGTTCGGTGCTCCTCTGTGAACTCTCGCAGGCTGTCATTTTTCTCCTTATAGCCTCTCTAGCCTTACCTTGAAACTGCATGTTTCCTGGGCTCCCTTTTATGGCCACAGCCGCAGGGCTGGTGGGCGCAGCACACAGCGTAGGTCCTCTGTAAACATTTGTTAAATGAACGCACGAATTCCTGGTAGAAGGGGTGTTTCCGGAGATCTTAGTGCCCAGCGGCTGTGAGGAGTGCCTCGAAGACATCCATCACTTATTTTGTTATCAGAGCTTTAAAGGACAGTTTACCAAACCATGTGGTTCTGCAGTTAAGGTTCAGTGTCTCCAATAAGAGGCGTCCCCGTGGGCTCCGTCTTTCCTTAGCTGCCCTTCTGTCTTTTCGGGCAGATGGTGTGACGGCTGGATAGAGGCATATTTTTAGTTTGACTCAACTGCGCTTATGAAATGGCTTTTATCTGTTTGTAGCTGCTGGGTTCTCTCTCCTCTGGGGCCACCAGAAGCCTTTCAAATACTGAGTAATGAGCCTTCTCGGGCTGGGAAATAGGAAGGGGGGTTTTAAAGTGCCCCATCACTGGATGGAAGGAAGCATGGCTCCTTTCTGTTCTCTTGCCAGGTGGCATTATTTTTTCCTTTATGATGGTTCAAAGGTAAAGGAAGAAGGAGACCCGACGAGAGCTGGCATTTGTTATTTTTACCCTTCTCAGGTAAGCCACACAGCGCGTTGCTGCTCAGTGGGGATTCCGCGGCCTCCAACTGGTGACTTTTCAAAAGTCTAGGGTTTACCTTGGGAACATTTTCTTTGCATAATCCAGGCATTTGACATTTCTACTCTCTTATTCTTCGCTGTACTATTTCTTGTTGTTCTGGTCTCAAAATCCCCCGTCGGCTCAGTACTTCCATCTTCTCGAGCTCTTTGTTACTATCGTTATTTTCTGTCTGCCTCTCCTTGCTCCCAATTTTTGATCAGCTCATTTAAAAAAAAAACTTTTATTCAAACATATACAAAAGTAGAGAGGAGGGTATCGTGAACCCTCATATGCCCATCACTAGCTTCAACAATTATTAGCACTGCCAATTTTATGTCACCGATCCTAACCCTCCCCTTCTCTTTTTTCTGGAGTATCTTGAAACAAATACTAGACATTGTGTCATCTCACCAGTATCAAGTAACATCTCTAACTGAAAAGGACATTTTTCTTAACATGTCAACACCTAGCAAAAGTTACAGTAATTAGTAACAGTAATTCCTTAGTATCACCTGATACTGTCTATATTCAGATTTTGCCTTTATTATCTTAGATGTCACTTAGTCTGTCTGTCCTTCCTTCCCTCTTTTTCTCTCTCTCTTTTTCCTAATCAGGATCCAAACAAGGGCCACGTATTCCATTTGGTTATTTTGTTTTAAGTCCCTTTATTAGATAACACTCCTCACCCACCCACCCACCCATCCTTTCTTCCCCTATGCCATTGAGTTACTGAAGAAACCAGGTCATTTGTGCAGTAAAATGCTAGAACCTCCCACACTCTGGATTTGGCTGATTACTTCCTCATAGTGGTGTCATTTAATGTCTCCTATCCACTGTGCAGTATTTCCTTTAAACTAGTAGTAAGATCTAGAGCCTTGATTCGGTTCAAGTTCACTTCTTTTAGGCAGGTCTTCTGCATAGGCCCTGTGTACATTTTCTGTTGCATCACGTAGTATCTGGCTGCCCCCAAGCTTAGTTAATGCCAAGATCGATTAGGAGGTCTGTATACTTGCTCATGTGATTACCCTCTGACTTGGATAGCTGGGATTAATCCAGGCTGCTCTGGCTGCTCTGCTGGGATTTGAAAAGAGATGAAAAGCTCATGCTTCTACCCACGCACGTACCTATAGTCCTAGGAACAACAATATAGTTCTGTGCAGTCATCTTCTGCATTCACTACAGTGTTCTGTGATGGTTCAGTTATCCCAAGCAGGGGTCGGCAAACTTTGTAAAGGGCCAAAGAATGAATATTTTAGGCTTTTCCAGCCACATAAGGTCTCCGTCACATATTCTTCTTCTTTGTTGTTGTTTTGACAACCTTTAAAAAAATATAGAAACCACACTTAGCTCATGGGCCGTGTAAAAACAGGTGGCCAGCTAGATCCGGCCTCCAGGCTACAGTTACCACCCTCTGCTCTCGGGAATGGGAATGATGTGGAGTTCAACAGTTTCAGCTTCCTGTCTGCAATGTGCTCCTCTCCGTAGACCCTGCTTGACCGACAGGAGTTGCTTTGCGGACAGATTGCTGGAGTTGTCCACTGTGTTTCTGACATTTCCGGCTCTCCTCCCACTCTCATTCGTCTGCGGAAACTTAAGTTCGCCATAAAGGTTGACGGAGATTACCTCTGGGTAAGTTGAACAGGCAGAGCTGGTGCCCACAGGGTTGCCTCTACCCTGAGTCGTTTGTCTTGGTGATAAGTATCGTGATGATAAGGTTTAGAAAGTAGTGAATGCTTCCTATGGCATTCTTAGGCCAAGAATCTCCTCCCCTCCCGCCCTGTGCTGTGTCCGGTGTCGTCCACCATTCCTGGGTCACTCTCTGCAGGTGCCTGTCATGACTGAGTGCTCTCCAAAACATTTCTAACATATCCTGCATTACACATGGCTGGTTTCTCCTCTCCTTTGAAAGACTTAGGCCAATCTGTGGAAATTCCGTCTACTCTGTGATGCAAATTGAATTTTTAATCTGCCTCTTTTCTTCATACTCTCTGTAGTTCCCTGTACACTGGAGAGTGTACTCTCCACACTTACTGGGTAAATGACCTAGAAACTCTAAGACACTGACACATATATGTTAGGTTTCAAAGAACCGTTTTTAAAAAAAGAATAAAAACCGTTTCTTTACAGCTAGTAGTACCATATACCTTTAAGTCCTATTTTCCCATACCTACACTTATTTTAAACTATTCCTGAGGTGAAGGGATGCTTAAGTGTAAGGAAGTATATTCAACTGTAGGTATTATTTCCAACATTTTATTATGAAAATTTTATAACATACCAAACAGTTCAAAGAATTTTCCAGTGACTACTCATTCCTCCTAGATTCTACAGTGAACTTTCCATCATAGTTTCTTTATCACATACCTACCTATTCATCCCTTTGTCCTTCTGTCAATACAGTTTTTATTTTAATGCTTTTCAAAATTGCCCACATTAGGATACCTCTTTCCTCCTCCCCCAAATACTTCATCATGCATAATATTAACTAGAGTTCAATATTTGTTTGTGGTTCTTTTTTTCTTCAGAGGTAAAATTTACATATGATGAAATACACAGATCTCGAGTGTACCATTTGATGCTTTTGGACAAATGATGTGCCTGTGCGCCACAAATCCCTGTCAAGATACTGGATGTTAGCATCCCTCCAGAAGGTCCCTGATGTCCTGCCCCAGTTAATTCTAAACCCCCATCCCAGGCAACCATTGTTTGGAATTTTTTCTGCGATAGATTAGTTCTGCCTGTTCGGGAACGTCATATGAGTGAAATAATGTGTGTAGTATTCCTCTTTCCAGGCTTCTGTCATGCCACTTAACGTTTGTGAGATTCATCCATGTTGTTGCATGTATTGGCAGTTCGTTCCTTTTTGTTGAACAGTATTTGTATGAATATATCACAGTCTGTTTATTAATTCTCTTTTTTATGGACACATGAACGGTGTCCAGTTTGGGGCAATTAAGAATAAGGCTCTAGGAACATTCCAATGCAAGTCTTTTTGTGGACACGAATTTTCATTTCTTGTGGGTAAATATCTACGTGTGAAATTGCTGGGTCAGAGGGTAAGTGTAGGTTGATTTTGTAAGAAACTGCCAGACTTTTTCCTAAAGTGGTTGCACCATTTTACATTCCCACCAACAATGTCTGAGAAATCCAGTTACTCCACGTCCTCGTCAGCACTGATGTTGTCAGTCTGTTTAATTTTAGCCATCCTGCTGGATGGGTAGTGGTATCTCATTGTGGTTTTAATTTGCATTTCCCTAGTGAGTAATGACAGTAAGCCTTTCTCACGTGCTTAATGGACATTTGTATATCTTCTTTCGAGAAGTGTCTGTCCACAGCTTTTGCCCATTTTTCAAATTGGGTTTTCTTTTTTTTATTGAGTTCTTTATATATCCTGGATATCAGTTCTTTGTCAGATATATATATTACAAGTATTTTCTCCTAGTTTGGGATGTGCCTATTAATTTTCTTGATGTCTTTTGATGAGCAGAAGTTTTAAATTTTAATGGAGTCTAATTTATCAGTTTTATCTTTTGTGGTTATTGCTTTCTGTATTCTATCTAAAACCATTGCCTACCTTGTTGGAGAAGATATTCTCCAATTTTTTTGGTAAGATTTATAGTTTTAGCTTTTAAATTTAGGTCTGTAATCCATCTTGGATTAACATCTGTGTATAGCGTGAAGTAGAGGTTAAGGGTCCTTTTTTTCCATATGGGTATCCAGTAGTTCCAGCACCATTGTTGAGGAAACTCTCTTTTCCCTATTGGATTCCTTTGGCTCCTTTGTTGAAGATCAGATGACATTTAAGTGTGGGTCATTTCTGGGCTCTCCATTCTTTTCTGTTGATCTTTTTGAAGATCCTATATGAGGACTACTACTGTGTTGATTTCTGTAGCTTTATAATAAGTCTTGAAATCAGATAGTGTAAGTCCTCCCACCTTATTATTTTCCTAGATAGCTTTGTATATTTTAGGTTCTTTATATTTCCATTGTAGAATCAGTTTGTCGGTTTCTAAAGAAAAGCTAGTGGGATTATAATTAGAATTGCATTCAATCTATAGATCAATAGGGGAAGAAGTGAGCACATGCTGTGTGCCAGACTGTTCTAACTCTTGGATTAATTACATCAGTGAACAGAACAAAGAGCCTTACCTTTGGAGCTGACATTGAGAGGGAATTTTTTTTGTTTATTTTTTTTCTGTCAGGGTTGGTTTGTTTGTTTGTTTCTGATGATTCCCTTAGGAAGGAGTCCTAGAGGTAGAATTACTGAGTCCGAGAATATGAACTTTTTTCAGGCTCTTTAAACATATGGCCAGATTACTTTCTGACTGAGCAAGTAGTTATGTTCTGTGGAACTAAGCACTGCACTCAGCATTTTCGACTCCAGAACGTGTGATGATCCAGTCAGTTCCTGTTCTCGAAGTACTTCATCCAGCTGAGGAGATGAGATGGCCATTCATGAAACAGTTGGAGTCCAGTGTTTGCAGTGAAACCCAAATTAAACATCCAGTGTCCACATAACAGTCCTAACAATACAGGGGCCAGAGAAGAGGTCAGCATTGGCTGGAGTGATCAGAGCAGGCTTCATGAGGACTCTGCGGTGGGCGCTGAAGTGGGGGGAGAGCCCTGGGCAAATGAACAGGAGGGAGGAGGGCATGTCAGGGTGGGCAGCGTGAGTAGGTACAAAAGGTACTTGTTCTCTGTGGAGGCCAGCTTGGCTGGAGTGGAGGGTGTGGGCCGGGCAGCAGAAGATCAGTTTTGATGGGCCCATGGAATTCTAGCTACAGAGAGCCCTGGATGCCAGGATCCACACTGGACTCAGAGAAAAGGCAAGTGCCTGTCTTCCTGGTGCCCCTCTTCCAGGTGCTGGGCTGTGCCGTGGAGCTCCCTGACGTCAACTGCACGCAGTTTCTGGATCAGCTCATTGGATTCTTTCATTTTTACAACGGTCCTGTTTCTCTGGCTTACCAGGTATGAGGATACTGTTGAGGAGTCACGTGGGACCTCTTGAGCAAAACCGATGTTGCCAAACACGGCACTTACTCTGGAGTCTCTTATGCTTTCATAAACGCGTTGTGTCCAGTGGCAAGTTAAGGGCCCTTGGAGCCCCTCACAGACACCTTTGTTCCCCAGGGGCATGGGTCACATTCATTCCAGATGTTTATGCCCATCTCCTCCTCCCTGGATGGTTGGAAAGAGCAGGGCTGTGGGGTAGGAGGTGGGAGCTCAGTGTATGTGGGAGGTTCAACACAGGCCCTCCCTTCCAGCCAGTTTCCTGTGTGAGGAGCAGTTTTTGGGGTAGTTGGAATCCTTGCCAAAGAGTGTGTCTCTCAGAATCTCAGATGTTGACCTCAGGCTGTTTCTGTTTTAGAACTGTTCTCAGGAAGAACTGAGCGCTGAGTGGGACACCTTCATTGAACAAATTCTAAGAAACACCAGTGATCTGCATAAGATATTCAATTCCCTCTGGAACTTGGACCAAACTAAAGTAACATGCTCATCCCCTTTCTCGTTTCATGTATAGGAGTAGAGCTTTTTCCTCTCCTTTAGTGAACTGTATCTAGAGAACTGAATAGAACATGTCATTTCTTGGTCAGTGTGATGGTTCAGACCTGCACTCAGATTCTAGCTGCTGCTCACAGGCTGCGTGAGTTTGGACAGGTCGCTCAGCTCTCAGGACCTCATTTTCCTTATCCATAAAGTCACATCACAATACCTGCCTCCCAGAACTGTTTTGATGACGAAATGAGACAATACCTAAATGACAAAGAGAAAATACTCACTAAAGGGCATCATTTTGCTAATGCCCCAGAAGTGTTGAACTCAGTAATGTGAAGGTCCCCTTCTTCCTTGATAGTAATATGTGATATAATTATTCCCAACATCAACACTGCTCGGTGCTAACGTTTTAAAAACAAGGTCGCCGTGTCTGGGGGCCAGCAGTTGGCAAGGGTTTTGTGTCTTTGAGCCCCTCTGGTTGCTGTTGGCATTCAGTGGGAGGTAGGCTGCTTGTGTGGTTAGCCTGGCCACCTGCGCTGCCTGCTGTGCCGTGGCCGTGATCTTGGAGACCATCACTTCCCCATTGTCAGAGGGCCACAGGGAGATGTGAGGCTGGCCCCTTAAGAACTGACTGCCTGCGCCCTGAGCATCTCAGGAGATGAGACCTGGTCTGCGCTGCCAGCCCTCCATTACGTGTGGGCTGGGTCTCCTGCTGTGGTTAGTGGTGTCCCTTTAACAGGGCTGTGGCCCCATGACTCTGCAAGAAGTGGGGAGGGTTTTCCCGCTCCTGTTTGGAGGGCATCTTGAAGTCGGCCGCAGTGCTTTACAGAATGCTGGCTGGGACTGGGCGCTGTCCTGAGGCCATGAAGGAATAAACTCCGCTTCCTCACGTGGCAGCAGCTCCAGAGCTCAGCTCCGTTAACACTCAGCTCTAACAGCTGATGGGTGCTCACAGGTTCTAGCTGCCAAACAGGAAATACGAAGAGGGTTTTGGTTATTGCTGGCCATTCTCGACCAGATTCAGATTTTTTTCTGGTATTTTTAGGGATTTCTACAACTGACTCCTTACCAAGGGTATGTAACTGAAGCATATTTCTCTAAGTGAAAGACCATGTGTTTTCATTTTATGTTATGAAATAGAGTTACAGGACCTGGTCAGGCATCAAGCCACCTGTGTCACAGTGGGACTTGTGCTTCAGAGGGCAGATGGGGGGTGCATTTCACCTGGCGCCATTGTCTGCATTTGAGGGGTGGGCTCTCCTCCCCTGCTGCCTCCTGGTCTCAGCATTGATAGTCAGGGCCTCCTAGTCAGTCTACTTTGTCCCCTCTGAATAGCCATATGCCGTGTTCACTGTACCTCCCAGCTTCCAGAGAGGCCTCGTTGTTTGGAGAATTTGGCATTTGGTGGTGTCTGCGGTTCTGGGTATAGAGAGGTGGATTAGACCCAAGGTGTGACACAGATTTTACTGTGTGGCACATTCTCCTCTTTCCAGGCTTTGGGTGATGACCTGTCCGTCTGTTCTATGAAGGCTGCTTCCCTCTCCTCCCTTGCTGATTGTGAGCATGTGAACTCGTGGCTTACTTCTTGCCCTGCACAGGTGGAGCCCCTGTTGTTGCTGAAGGCAGCCCTCATTCTGCAGACCTGCCAGCGCTCGCCTCACGTTCTGGCTGGCTGCATCCTCTATAAGGGACTGTAAGTAATGCCAGACCCCTCTCCCCACCCCAGCCTCCTGCTGCAGAACTGAGCATCCAGGTCTTGGCCACCGCCAGATCACGGGTGGGGAGCTCTGTCTCTGGCCAGTTCCAAGGGGACTGGTTTGGCAAATATCAGTGGTTTAGCTTTGAATAAAGCTGGGAAACTGGAAACTGTTGTGTCCAGGAAAAAAAAAAAAAAGAAAGTTAAGAATATAGAGGGCAGTTTTAAAGAGATCCATATAATTCTCAGGATGGAGCAGCCCTTATAGTCGTCAGTCTACAAGATGCTAATACAGAGCCTCCAAGGTTGCCAGCAGCCAGCCTCGTAAGTGAGGGGGCATGGAAGCCTGCCCCGGCTGTCCCCTACTGCCCGGGCCCTGGTGCGCTGCTGCGGCTCAGCTCAGCAAAGCAGTGTCAGTGCTGCCACCAGGCTCCTGCCAGCCTCTGGGCGGGGCCCGTCTGTCTCTCAGTTGGCCTCTGAGATCTCACTACACCTCTTCACTAGTTGGAGGGCCTCTTTACAAGCCCGAGTGTCTGAGAGCCACTCCACACCTCTTGCAAGGCTGCTCTCCTCGTGGAGGGTTTACTCTCACAGCCCAGGGGCAGGCCAGGCCATTGCTCTGTGCCCAGAGCTTTCTGCTGACCAGATGAGTGAGCGACTGGAGCAGCTCTCCAGGGCCCCGGGGGCTCTGGGGCCTGGCAGGCTGGGTTTCCAGTCTGGCTTCTCTTCCTCCCAGCTGTGCCCTGGGCAAGTGGCTTAATCTCCCTTTTCTCTTCTGGGAAATAGGGGTGCTTGCTGGAGAATGAAATGAGATGAGAGATGTGGAAGACCGAGCACTGTCTCTGGTTTCCAGTGGTCCTTGACACCTTAGACCCCTGATCCCGTCCCCTGTTTTCATTATGATGCTTCTGAGTCAGCTTGTGGTGCTTCTAGGCTCACCAGTGACATGGCATCAAAGGTGGTATTTTTTTCCTTATTTTGCATTTCTTATTTATTTATGAATTATACACCCAATGCATGAAATGTTCTCACTGTAAAAAATGAACGGAGAGAGACACACAGAGCACAATTTAAAGTGCCCCTCCCTCTTCCTCACTCACCGCCCGTCCCCACTGTTAGCAGTTTGATGTGCATCCTTCTTTTGTTCTGTGAGTTTTCACACACCTGTACATATACGCATTTATTGGTTTTGTTTATTTTTGCTGTCTGTGTAAATGAGATCTTATGGTTCCTCAATTTAATGTGTAGAGATTTTTTTATCAGTCAGTATCAGTCCACCTCATTCTTGTAATAGCTGCGCATTTTTTGGTGTTATGGCCGTGCCATGATTAACTGCTCTCTTTTTGATGGACATTTAAATTGCCCATTTTTAAATGATTTTACCATTTTCCCTGTAATGAATATTCTTCTGCATAGTTCTTGGTATAAGCCAGGACAAAGGATTTGGACATTTTAAGTTTTGGTAGGAACTGCCAGAGTGCCCTCCATTGGGGCTTTACCATTTGAAACTCCCACCAGCTTGTCCCCAAGATCCTTGTCACCATAGGGTGTTAGGAATCTTTTCAGTTCATAGTCCTACAGTTTATTTCTTCTCACAGTGTCCTTGTGTCTGATCTCCTAGGATTGTTAGCACCCAGCTCCCACCCTCCCTCACGGCCAAGGTCCTGCTTCATCGAGCTGCACGTCGGGACCAGGTATGCTAAAGCCCCCTGCCTGGCTGGGGTGCTTCATCCAAAGCGTCTGTCTGCACGTGGCGGCCGCTGGCAGGCCGATCCCTAGTGCTGGATGGACGGGGCAGGTGCTGTGGCTGGGGGGCAGTTGTTTCCCTTAATCTTGTCGGGACCCCAGGGCCATCAGTGTGGTTGTCCTCTAGAGGGAAGTCCTGGCAAGGCTGGAAGAAGATGTTTTCTTCTATGTGTTAGACTTGGGTAGCTGGTTCTTCTTCAATCCAAGTGGAACTAGGGGAATTTGACTTCTCAAGGATGGGCTTTATGTCAAAGAGATGTTGGATTTTCCAGAGATAGCCTGTAAAGGATGACTTAGGAATACAGAAACTCCTTTGAAATACCTCCGTCTTTATTTATTTAAGTGCTTTTATAATGAAAAAGTCATACGTGCTCATGGAGAATAAAACAGCCCGTGGTTGGACTGCACAGATGGTCACTGCTGGCAGCTGGCATACTTCCTCAGTCCTTTCTTCTTTTATCTTACTTGCTTATTCTCAGCGTCTGAAGCTTTAGTTTTAAATGTATCATATGGCTAGGTTTTTACACTTGTTAAATCAGTAGACGCTTAAATCGCATGTGGGGCTCTATTCAGGCCTTTTCCCCACTGTTGGTGGAGGTGTCATTAGAACAACCTTCCTGGTCAACTATTTGATAATGAGAACATTAAGAGTGCCCTTTCCTTTTTCCTAATAATTCACCTTCTGGGAATTGATCCTAAGGAAATCATCTAACTGCTAAAAAAGTTTATACTCAAAACTATCGCAACAGGGTTTATGAAAGTGAAAAATCAAACACAACTTAAATGTCTAAGATAGGGGTTGGCACACCGTGGCCCGTGGGCCGGTTGCCTGTGCAGTGCGTTGGGGCCCTTGTGAGCTGCGGCAGCAGGTGGAGTAGTTGCGGCGAGACCCTATGGCCCATGAAGCAAACACAGTACCGCCTCACCCTTGTTACAGAACAAGTTTGCCGGTCGCTGGTCTAGAGTAGGGAAAGGGTTAATCCACCTCCCCACTTGAAACTTCGTACAACTGTAGTCAGCCACTTAAAAGGGCCAAAGATGGTTTAATGACAGGAATTGTATGCTACTCTTTTAAGCAGGGAAATAGAATTTTATATAATGTGGTCTCAAAGTATTAAAAAATGCATAGAGTTAAAGGAAAATATGCCCAGTATGAACAGTATTAGCTTGTGGGTGAGGGAATTATATGTGGGTTTCTTTTCTTTTGAATTTTTGTCTAAAGTCAGCTTATGTATATAACCTGAAACATGAATTAAAAAAAAAAAATCACCAAAAAAGAAAGGAAGAAAGCCATATCATTTCATAGGCGTGAAAGTCATTTTGGCTGGAAGAGCAGTTTTTGTTTGTTTTTTGTTTTGTTTTGGTGGGTCCTTTTGGAACCCTTAGGTTGAGATGTCTGGAAAGCTCTTTGGAGAAAATTCCTAATTTCCTAATTTTTGAGAAAATTGGGTTTCTTACCTGGATTGTGACTAGAATAAGCACAGGAGGTCTGGCATAGTGTCTTATTCAGGTCATATGCTTTATCATGAGGGTCCCAGGACTTGCACGTTTTTGTTGTAACGGAATTTGTGAATTCTGTGCCAGGGTCATGGCAGAGGTGGCTGTATTCTAGAAGACGTGTTCTCGGAAGGCATAAAAGATAGCACAAATCCTCGCTTCATCCCCAGAGGGGAGAAGCGGAGAATGAGACGGGAAGCCTGGTGTGTGTCTGGGTGGAGCTGCTGCCCTGCAGCCTGCGTCAGCCCAGGTTCTCGCCTGCCCCCACCGTGGTGGTGAGCAGGCAGCTTGGGGAGCTTCTGTTCCTTCTGCTCTGCTGTTGGCTTGTGGTTGGGACAAGCATTCTGGGCCTGGCTGAGTGTTATGAACAGATGGCACAGTGCGGTCCTGATGGTTAGGTCAGGAGGAGAATGTGGTGCCCAGCACCAACTCCTGTGTGTTTATTTCCAGAGAATACCTACAGGAGGGGAGGCCCTGCAGGACCATGGTAAGTAGTCAGGCACCCCATTGCATCTTGAGGATGCATCTCTTATGCTACCTGTCCCTGTACAAGCCCTGAGAAAGGCTGACAAGTCCCATATGGTTGTTTCATCTGCTCCTAAGATTAGGAAAGTAGATACACCAGAGCTTCAAGAACAGAGTTCCCCAATTGTAAAGCTCATGACTTTAGGCACGCCTTTAAATCTGTGTTTTCAGATCCTCCTTAACTCACCATTATGCGACTGCTCAGACAAGTTCCAGGGGATCGTGATTAGGAGAGGGTGACATAAAGGGGGGTGAGACTGCCAGAAAGACCTTTTGCAGGATGTGGAGGTGTCGCTAGAAGGGTTATTTTATTTTATTTTGAAGCAGAAGTTGGAATAGATCCCTTTTGTCAGTTGGAAGTGCTTTTTTCCAGCTTACGTCTTTTTTTTTAAGTCCCACTAAATTTTCTTCCACCACGTGTCACCCTTCTCCACAGCTGGGAGCGAAGTTGCCCACATGGGCTCTTCCTTGCTGGTCACAGAAATCGTAGCTGCAGTTTTGTGGCCTTGTTCTGGGCTGAGGAAAGCATCCCGGCGCTGTTCCCTGGATGCATCACCCCAAGGACAGTTCCTGGCCCCCCGGCTTCTCTAGCCCAGGGGACAGCCCTGCCCGTGTTGCTTTGCTGTTCTAGAAGCAGCACTCCCCCTGAATGTCCAGATCATACCTGTTTTCCTGACCGAAGAGGAAGCCGTCAGTCTCCGTGAGTTCCCGGGGGAGCCGATAACGAGGTAAGGGAGCTCACAGGGCGGGGCAGGGGGCATCGTAATCCATGCTTTAGACACTCCCTCACATGGGTCTCTCCAAACCGACCCCGGGAACATCCCATCCTTCCTTAACTCCCTGTCCTCCACGCTCTGCCTTGGAAGGGTATCTGGAACTGCAGCGTATAGGTAAGAGGCAGCTGACATAGTGAAATGACTGGGCTTTAAGTCCCGGATCTGTTGCTTATCAGCTGTGTGACCGCGGGCGAGTCCATTCCCTCCCTGAGCCTCAATTTTTTCATCTGTAGAATGGATCCAGTAATATCTACTTCATGGTCTCGTTGTGAAAATTGGAAATAAGTCTGTGTAGCACCCAGTATAGGGCCTGACTCATAGACCTCCAAATGTGGGGACTCTTATCCAGTGGGCCCTGCCATTTTCAGTAGGTGATCCTGGTATCACTGCCGAAAGTCCTGAGGGCCAGGCATTGCTGTACTTTTACTCCTGTGGTTTGACGAGGGGGTCCTCTTGGGATCTGTGGCCTCAGGCACCCACATGTCACGGATGCCTGTGCTTTCTAGGGAAGTGGTGCTTTAGTTCCCCCAGGGAAGGACACTTGCCCCTTCCTCATGTCTGCCTTGCTCGCCAGCTCTCCTGCACCTCCAGCCAGACTCCAGGAGTGCGCATCTGCCCTGAGAGCAGATGCCCCCAGGCATGTGGAATCCACGGCCTGGACCTTAGCCACCACCCCTGAGCCCACGTCCACTGACGTTTCTTGGCCGAATGGCAAGGGAGAGAACGGACACGTGTCTGACCACGATCTGGAGAGCATCAAACCTGCAAAGCTGCCCCACACTCCGTGGGACAGGGGTCCTGGCCTCGGCTGCTCCCTGGTGAAGGACCCTGGTTCGTCCAGGGGGATAGAGGACCTGGACCTGTCTGAACTCCACATTCCAGAAGCTCAGGAAATGGAGACATCCTCAGGTTCTCTTGCCTTCCTGTGTGTGCGCGCCCCAGATGCTAGTGGTCCCCGCTGCAAAGAATCTGTCAGTGACTCTGGCAACCCAGAACCCAAGCCGCCTGAGGCCCTACCTGTGGGCACAGCCATTGGTGGCTTCCTCTCTCCCTCTGCTCTGGAGATGCTCTCCCTCAATGGATCCCTAGAACAGCGTGAAGACCTTCCTGGTGACAGCAGCCCAGCCTCCATTCCCAGAGAAGACTGCCTCCCTAGAAGGACGAGCTGGCCGTTGTTATCGCCTCACTTAGATTCGAGGCGGACAGGAACTAAGCTTCCCGTGGGGGAGCAAGGCACGCAGCAGCGTGTTGATGGAGTTCACGAGAGCCGCTCAGCCCCCCACCTGGAATGCAGCTCAAGCTTGGGAGACTCTCAGAGCGCTGGCCCCTCTGCAGATGGAATTGACTGGGGGTCGACCCCAGCATCCCGCGCGGGACTCGTGCGGATGAACCTCTACACTCACAGTGTTAAAGGGCTGGTGCTGTCCCTGCTGGCCGAGGAGCCGCTGCTGGGAGACGACGCAGCCGTCGAGGAGGTGGTGAGTCTGCTCAGAACTCCCCAGCCCCTGTAGCCTGCTCTCGGTCTCCTAGGAACTGGACAGGGAGAGCAGGTGCTCCCCTCAGCACTGCGCTGACGCAGGGGGAAGGGGTAGGGCTCAGCCTTCAGCTGCGTGGTCCTGTGCAGAGCGTTTTTGTTGAGGCAGAGGGGATGGTGATAGTACCTGCTTCCTGAGGTTCTGTGTGGAGTGAGTGAGGGTGAGTCCAGTGCAGAGCACAGTGCCGGGTGCATAGGCATCCACAGGCTTCGGCGCTCTCGCTCGTTCCTGTTTCTTCCACTTTCTCAGGGCGCAGGCCTTGGAGGAGTCCTGGCTCTCGCCGTGTGATCATGCACACAGGCCTTGCCCATCTGAGCCTCTAGCTCCTCCTTAGCTGTGTGGGGGTGCAGCGTGACCACGCAGGCGTGATGACCGCACGCACAGCCATTGTTGTGCCCCCACCGCCACTCACGGCCTCACTTCCTCGCCTGGCAGCTCTAGGTTCTGTGTTGGCTGGAGTCTGCCCTGCACGTGTCACAGCTTGGGTTAGAAGTTCTCTGGAAGCCCCACGTTTCTCTCCATGTGAAGCTCCTTCCTAGAAGGCCTGGGACATCTGAAATGCTAAGTGGCTCCAGAAGGCTCCTCTTAACCCATTCCAGCCCTTCCCCACTTCCAGCGGTAAACTGACCTTCTGGGGCCCAGGCCCACGCTGGAGATTCAGTTGCTATAGTAACAGCCTAGCTTTAGCTGGCAGGGAAGTGGTAGCAATAACAGCAGGTTGAAATTGCTGCAGGGCGAATGGTGGGGGGGGGCTTCCCTAGTTTTTGTTCTTAGATCTGTATCATTATAAGCCGATCTTATTAGCATGCAGCGCTTGTGACCCTCCATAAATGAGCCAGTCACCTTGGGGCTTAGAGGAGGAGGGAGGGCACAGAGCCCCAGGTGAGAAACTGCTCCTCTCTAGCCCTGTCTTGCTTGTCTCTCCCCTTGCCACAGAGCCTGTCGCCCAGTGGTGGCTTGTTTGCTGCCCACATGTCCGTCACCAGACTTCTCCGCCTCCTTCTTACGACAGCCCAGGGCCCCGTGATAGCAGTTTCATGCATCTCCTCTCCCCGGCCATGCCTGGGTTTCCATGGTCTCTTCTGCTTAGTGCTGAGCTGTAGACTTGTTATTTTGAAGGCCCAGTGTTTGGATGCAATAAAGTGGATATGATATCTCTCTTTTTTACCTTCCTGCAAAAAGAAAAAGAAAAAAAACAGCATTGGCTGCTCTTGGAGAAGGAAGTAAATTAAGATGTATTCTGCATTCACTGTATGCTAAATACTTGACATATATCATTTTAGCCAAGCCTTAGAACAGTTCTGAGGGTCGGCATTGGAACTCACATTTTACCAGTAAGAAAACAGCCTCGTTGAGATGAAGACCTAATGCAAGTGGTGGGTCCGGAATTCTCGTTTCTCATCCCCCGCCCCAGCCTCTCTGTTCCCCCACTGATCTGACCTGGGAATGATAGGTGGGAAGGTAAAGGAGTAAATGCCCTGCCTTCTGTGGCTCTTGATCTGTGGCATGTCCCTTGGTTTGTCATGGCCCACCCAAGGTGATAGGACAGTGGCCTCCATGGGCTTTCATGTCAAGAAGGGGTTGGTGTTGGGTAGGCTCTGGGATAGAGAGTGCAGTTGAATGGAAGAAGAAAGACTCGTCTTTTCTAAGAGTAGGGTGTAACTGACTCTGATCAGCGTGCTGGTTTGAGAACAGGGTTGGCCGATCAGACCCAAAGGCTATTTTATAATTGGGAGAGATCGTTTATTGCCTTTTTGTCCCAGACCTGCATACAAAATACTTGACCTGATTTCCCTCTAGCCCGTGTGCTGCTGTCTAGAAAAGCAGGTCCCCTGCTTTTCTTTTTTCTTTTACCATTTTCTTTTACCATTTTTTTCTTTTACCATTTTCTAGAATGGTAAACTGCAGTTCAGATGTGACAGTGAGCACAGCCTCTTGAAAGGGCTCCTTGATTATGTTACACACCACCAAGGCACCCTCGCGTCATTTGGCCATCTTGTCTTCCAGTGGATCACTGCCACCTCTTTATGTTTGCCAAGGGTTGGGGGCAGGTGGAAGGGGGCGTTCGGGGAGCGGCCAGGGAGGTTGACTGGTTCAGAGGGAGCAGAGTAAGCTCACACCAGGGGGCAGCATAGAGCCACAGACAGTTTGCTGCTCAAAACCCTAGATAATCTCACTGGCCTTCACATACAGCGATCAGACCAGTTACTCATTGCTGCAATAGGACATTGAGCTGTCTGTTTATAGTAGATGAGCCTGAGGTTAGTGCAAGAGTGTTAGTGTAAAATACTTTATGAAAAGCACCCGTCCCCCAGGAAACTGGTGCTTCTGAGTGAATGTGTGTCGCTGCATGTCCTGGCCCACAGTGACATGCGAGCCACCTGCTTTGCCGTGGACTGGAAGCAGGGTACCTGGGAATTAGCCCCAGCTCCGTGTCTCCTGGGCTGTCGTGAGGGTCACGTATGTGGTAGGACTGTCAGCCGTTGGCAAACTTTTAATGGAAAAGAACACATAGCAGATACTTTCTGCACAACTATTCAGCTCTGCAGATGTCCTATAAAAAGCACCATAGACAATGTGTACATAAATGGTGTGGCTGTGTTACAGTAATGCTTTATTTATGGACATGGAAATTGGAACGTCATTTAATTTTCACGTCACAATACTATTATTTTGATTTTTTTTCCCTAACCATATAAAAATATAAAAACCATTTTTAGCTCTCAGGCTATACAAAAACAGGCAGTGGGCTGGATTTGGTCCACAGCCCCTGGTTTGCTGACCCCTGGTATCTGTGAACGCGCTTGGTTACCAGTGCATTGTCCACGTGTCATCTGATGTAACGTCTTGTGATTGTGTGTATGGTTAAGTGCTTGTATCTCGAGCACAAGTTAGGCAGAGATTCTGGAGTGGAGCTGGGTGCCTACAGGGAAAACTCGGGTTTCGGCATGGCTCAGTCTCTGTTCCCATCACGCCTTCCTCTGGGCGCCGGCTGGGGATGGGAGGGGTGACTGTTGCCGGATTCCTGAGGTGCAGAAGCTTCCAGTGAGGCTGTGCTTTGACTTCGTGGTGAATGCTTGCACACACACACACCTGTTCAGGTAGGAGCCTCTCAGCATCTGTGACACTCTGTGTTAGTTAGGCTTTCACGGGAGGGACTGTGCTCGTCTTCCCTGAGCGCATGTCCTTGCACTCACTCTGCGCCTCCATCAAAACCACACAGCTCGGAAGGTGAGTGTGCTTGGCATCGGTTATGCTCGCTTACCTGGTCACTTGGTAGATATCTGTTGAGCACCTGCTAGGAGCCGGGCACTCTGCTAGGCATTGGGGATGCAGAGATGAGTGCATAAAACACATCCTTGTGTGCAAACCTGCTGCCTTTAAATATCATTTCCAAGACATTCAGATAGAAAAACTAATTTAAGCCTAGTACACTACCAAAAATAACACTTAGCTCCATGACATTCACCTCAGAAGGATTCTGTTTGCATCTCTGTACTTTTATGTGCGCTTATTTTTTTGCACAGCTGTTGAAAAATAGTCAATCCACAGAGAAGTCCTAGGTGCTCATTACAGAGATACTGCTTCCTTAATAAGGATCGTTTTCATTTCTTGACTCTATAAAGAAGCCTTCCCTCAGGGCAGCACTTCAGAGTTTACAAAGGACGTTTATGTATGTTATTTCACTCAATCCACTCAGCAGCCCTGTAGTATTCCCATTTTGCAAATGAAAAAAAAAATCAGGCACAGAAAATTGTCACTTGCCCCTGGTCATCTGGCCAGGAAGAGGCTGAGCCAGGATGTCCTTCACCTGGGAGCCATCTGTGCCCCGGGACTGTGGCCTTCTTATGGGCAAAGCAGCTTCAGGGGAGCCCCAGGTGCCCTGTTTCAGACCGAGTCCATTGGATGCGACTGACGTACATGGTCAGGTCCGAAGCAGAGCTCAGCGAATCCCACACAGCCATGAAAGAGTGATGTTGCGGGGGAACAGTTTCAGGACGAAGAAAGTAGTTCATGCTCTATCATTGCCTTACAAAACTCGTATCAATTATTATTTGTGGATTGATCCCATTTTTATTTTATAAAAAAAGAATGGTATAGTCCAGCGTTCTCAACTGTACCTTCCAAGAACGGTGTCTGGCTGGTCCTATTCCAGATGCGCCAGAGAGAGGGGAACTCGTTGCAGACAGTGGAGGCCTTCTCAGCCCAGGCCGGGGTTGGGGGAAGTGTGTGTGTGGGGTGTGGGGCGTGGGCCTGGTCAGCTGTACTGTGAAAATGTGCAGCGGGGTGGAAAAGTCATGGTTAGAAGGAGATGTACCGTGGTGGTGACAGTGGCTATTTCTGGATGGTGAGATTATGGGCCATTTTTCTTTTTTTTTTTCTTTCTAAATTTGTTTTTCTGCTCACCCTCTATTTTCTGATTTTTCTACAATTTAAAAAAGCACTAGAACCTAAGGGTGGAAGTTAGTACTTGTCTAAACACAGGTAAAAACACTGGTCAGAGCCCTTTGGGGATTATTATTTCCTGAGTCTGCGGCATGCCAGGGTTAATCCTGCAGCCCGTGACCCTGGCCGGCCCTTTGCAGTACCACAGTAGCCTGGCGTCCCTGAACGGGCTGGAGGTCCACCTGAAGGAGACGCTGCCCGGAGACGAGGCTGCCCCCACAAGCAGAACATACAACTTCACGCATTTCGACCGCATTCAGAACGTGCTGACGGGTAAGGAGGCGCATGTGCGTGGGGCCCCGGGCGCCTCCTAGAGGCGGGTGAGGTGAGAACTGGGGCCCAGGGCGCCGGGTGGGTGCTCTGCCCAGAGCCGTCTGCCCTCTAGTCAGGATGCTGCTTTCTCACTTGGAGCCCAGCTCCCACTGAGTTTAGAATTCGCTTGGCAAACACTTTTTCTCTCATTTGTGTTTTTTTGGTTGTTTCTCCAACATTTGGAGAGAAGCACACACATGTTCAGATGTCTGTGACAAGGTCTGTCTCAGAATTTTGATATTCATATGCAGAAGCCCGGTGTTGCTCATTATTGGGAACAGCGTGTGCTCTGTGGCATGGTGGCAGCTGTGGGGGCCAGCACCCTGGGCCTCTGTCTCTCTCCCCGAGGTGCCCGCCCTCATGGCCGTGAGCCACGCTCTGTCCCGGTTTACAGTCCTGGGGGGGTGGGGAAGAGTCTGCTGTTCACAGCTTGTGTGTTCTCTTCCGGAAGCGAACCTGCCTCAGGTGGCCACGCCCCAGGACCGCCGCTTCCTCCAGGCCGTCAGCCTGATGCATGCCGACTTTGCCCAGCGGCCTGCGCTGTACGAGATGACCATCAGGTGAGCTGTCCCCGGGTCACTCACAGTCCTGCACCAGGGGCCGCCTTCACGGGGGCCCGGGTGGAGCCTTTTTCGTAACTAGATGAAGAACTGTTACTCCAGGGAAGGCCTTCTTTGATCTGCTCCTGTGGCTGCCATCATCTGCTCTCCTGCTTCCTGTGTCGCGTGTTTTCTGGGCCCCTTCCTGGGGCTCGGACCTGCTGTAGACACTGGGGTCCAGTAGTGAGGAAACCTGGGGTCCTCACTCTCTCGGAGCTTCCCTGTTACTGGGGAAGGCGGGTCGCTGTCTCCCTGCATAAATGGTGCTGACGTGATATCGTGTCTTCTCCTTAACAAGTCCTGCGTGCTCAGTGTGAGAACGTCCCGACTCCCCTGAGATCTGTCCAGTGAACGTTTCCTCCCCCCCACCACACACCCAGAAGATGCCCACAGTTAGCAGTTTGTCTGTGTGACTCCAGGTTTGGTGGTGGTTTTTGGGTTTTATTTTCTGCATATAAAATATAGATTAATTATTTTTATTTTAATTATTTTAATAGTCTCCTAAAAAACAGGATCATACTAACGTGCTGTTTTACAGGTGCCTCTTTTCACTTGGTTGCATACCTTGGACACCTCCATGCTAGCAGATATAGATCTATTAATTATTATTGCAATTTACAGTACTTAACCAACGGAATTCTACTTTTTCTCCCTACATGCTTCTCTCATGAAACCAGTAGCAGAAAATAAGGCAAGTTAGAGGATCAGAAAGGGAGTGCCTGCTGTGCGTATTGAGACTTTGGAACGATTTGGGCAAGCACGTTTTTTATCCTCATTTTACAGACGAGGAGTCAAAGCACAAGTAGGATATGTGACTTGTCCCAGGGTCACGTTCTTATTCGGTGCAGAGCCAGGATTTGAACCCAGGGGTCTCTGACTCGAAACTGCCTGTTCTCTCCACATGTGTCTCCAGTTTCAGGGCAGTGTGGTCGAGAGGGAGGGTGGGGGCTCTGCACTCGGCTCCATGGTGACAGGTGCTAATGCTGTCCTGTGCTACATTTGAGTGCCGGGCATTTCTCCTGCTCAACGCCATCCCCCGCCAGTATTTCAGTATATCTTTCCATATATCTTTCCATGATAAATGTATCTTCTCTGGCTTTAAGTCAGAGCTGTCCCAGACTGGCAACCTATAGGTGTGGTTTGCAGCTACAATCACTGGTTTGGGAACTGGGGTGTTGTGTGTGCGTGTGTGTGTGTGGTGCGGGAGGTGAGAACAAGTGAAATGTCAGCATATGATGCATCGAGCACCTGTGGCCCAGCAGTATTCCATCTTCCTTGGAGCTGAGAGAGTTTCATTGTTAGGATACGAAGCTCAAGGCATTTGTTGAGAGATTATTTTTATAACAGTAATAGCAACAGCAGCAACCATTTCTTAACCCCTCACCATGTGCTAAGCAATTGATATATATTCCTACTCATTTAATCTCTTAAATCTCAATGAGGGGATGTGCTATTGTCCTACCCATTTTACAGATAAGAAAGCTGGGATTCAGAAAGGTTGAGTAACTTAGCCAAGGGCACACAGCTGGGAGGTTGTGGGGCTGGGATTAGCACTCAGGAGCGTGTGACTGCAGATCCGTCCCTGTGAGGTCCTAGAAGGAGAAGCTAGAGAAGGATGGGATTCTCCTCCTCCTTACATGGAGGGAGAGATCTGGGTAGGAGAACCTCAGTGGTCCCTGACTCCACCCTCTCTCTCTAGATGTGGGGAACCGAGGCCCATGGGGAAGCAGTTTAGGACAGGCAGAATCAGGGAACCTGGTGCTCGCCGGGCCTTGGAGTCACTTCCTCCCAAGTGGGTCCTCCTCTGCATGGGACCCTCCTCCATCGCTCTAATTCTGTGTCCACAGGGTTTTTGTCACTTGATTTCATTCTCCACTCTTCTGTCCCCTCACTTCCCTCACTGCTCCTCTGTCCACCCCGGTGTGCGAAGAGGATTGGACCCCTTCCTGGGACACGGTCAGTGCTTGTCACGGAGGCCCGGCAGCATCGCCACCCTCTGGGCCTCAGGGTCCTTGGCTGTCCAGTGGGGTAATCCCACTACTGCCTGGCGCTGAGTGAGGAGTAAGCCAGGCTATAGGAAAGGCGTTTTTCTTAGCTGCTGTTATATCAGCAGAACATGCACCCACCAATGCATTCCTTCAGTTTTTATCACTTCAGGCTCTGTGGCTGCAGCCACTGCAGACTGTCCCGCCACAGACAGTCCCAGCATCCAGTGAGTTGAAAGGAAGGAGAGACAGTTAGTATTGGCATATTGGCGCAGAAACTCAAGTGAATAAGTGGAACCCCGAGCCGGGACAGCTGCCCCCACAGCGTTTGGTGTGCTAGGCCACTGACGAGCACCTCGCGAGGTCTCTGTGGCCTGAGGTCTGCACAGGCGGTGGTGGACGGTTGTCTTCCTTCTTTCTCCCGCAGAAATGCATCCACAGCTGTGTATGCCTGTTGCAGCCCTGTCCAGGAAACCTACTTCCAGCAGCTGGCGGCCGCAGCGCGGAGCTCCGGCTTCCCCAGTCCGCAGGACGGCGCCTTCAGCCTCCCGGGCAAAGCCAAGCAGAAGCTGCTGAAGCATGGGGTGAACTTACTCTGAGCTGCGCCGTGGGAGGACGCACCGCACCCCAGGACGTGACTGCCAAGCGAGCACCAGCAGAGGAAGCTCTGCCTTTTAAACGGAGAAAGCCCCTCTGTCATTGTTCTTAGAGTAGGCCCTTAGGAATGTAGTGGTGTTTGAGTGTTTGTTACTCCTTTGCAGATTGGGCTTTGAGGGGTCGTTCTTCAGGGCAGCAGACCTAGAGCCCGTGATAAAGCCCTTTCTTCCCTTGGTGGTGTCGGGCCAGGCGGGGCGCTTTGGCCCTTTATACCAAAGAGGTGCCAGGCCAGTGAGTGTCCCTGTCACACTGAGCCCGAGCCAGCTGACAGTCCTGCTGCTGTTCCAGCCTAGTCTAACCAGTACCACAGAAATTCAGGTTGGCATTTTTCTAGGACTGTTGTCCCCAGTCTGGAGTTTGTCCAGCCCTGTGTCCAGGGGGCGGGATGAGGTGTGACTGCACCGTGAGGGGTGGATTGTTAGCAAGCAGGCCGGACTCCCGCTTCTCAGTGAGGCTGTCTCCCGAGTGTCCTGGGAGGTCTGGATCCTCAGTGCCAGGAGGCGGGGATGCCAGGCCACCTTGCGTGAGTTCTTCTGGGACTCTATTCAAAGCCAGGAGCCTGTTCTTGGGCATCCTGCGGTGGGGGCAGATCTTCATAGTGTGCGTGGAAGGGGGTTTGGGGTAGAGAGAACCCTGAGGTGCCAAGCCGGAGAACCGGGTGACGACAGACCAGGCTGAGCTCCTTTGGTTAGAACTGGGCTGTGCAGCAGGTTCCTCTTGAGTGAGTGTCTCCAAGTGGGAGTTTCTACAGTGTCTGGGGGCAAAATGAGAAGTGCTTTGCAGGGGTGTCTGTGTGAAAGGGAACAGCATTCCTTTGTTTCTGGGCCGGTGTGGTACTTAGAATATCAGTTCTATTACAATATAGTCAGACATTTTTTGATAATATGGTGCAGATCACAGGATGAAAATATTTACCAAAATCTTAACTGAATGTTTACTGGAAGTACCTGAGATTCCATTTGAAAATTGCAATGTTGTTAATTTCACATCAGTGAACAAATGTCTAATGTTTGTAGAATGGTGCCTTTTTCTTGAAACAAGTTTCCAAGGGCTAAAAATAAAATAGCCAGAAATGCCATTGAGTTATGAGTAATTAAATAGCAACATCTCTAGTGACAAAGTTAAGGTCAGGGTTAGGATATTATATGTATGCATGTGTGTATCTTGTGTGGACACGTGTCTCTTCCCCTTCGTGATCCAGCGTGGCCAGGTGAGGAGGGTGCACGTCAGGACGGTTTGTCTGCCAGGGTGCGCGGCTGCAGCCGGCGGCTCCAGGAACACCAGCTTCAGCACAGCTGGTGCGGCACGCCAGCCTGTGTCGCCCTCTCTCCCACCTCTCTCTGGGATCCCTCCTGCCACTGGCTGCCCTAAGAGGGTGATCTTCCCAGATGGAGGAGGATCGTGCCTCAGGCTAGGATAAATGTATATTCTCCTACTTCTCTGCAAAATTCTCCAAGAGAAAATTCATTACCAGCCTCTGTGCCAGCTTCTCAAGGAACCTTCCCATGACTGACTGACACATACCACGTTCCTTTTCTGTTGTGGGTATTTTTAAGTAGCCAAACTTTTCCTTTTGCTCACGGATGCTCCAGAATTGCAAGGTCCTCAGTTTTGGAGCCCAGTGAAATTACAGCCTGGTTTGTGTTGAAACAGGGACGGAATTTGGAGCCCATTTTCACCTGCCCGCTGGTAGCTCAGCTAACTGTCTTTGTTCGAGGACTCGTCCACACAGGGTCTGCTTCACAAGGAAATCGCTTGGCTGTCACAGGGCCCATGCCTAGCTATCAGACCGTTGGCAGATCTTAATCTTATTTACTTTGCTTTCAGAAACCTCTCTTCCCATCTAATTTCCCAGGGCTGCTGTTGGGTCTAAAAATGCTTTTAATACAAGATGCTTTGGTTTCTGAGAAGCAGTGCACAAGGCAGCCAGGTGCTTCCCTTTAAGTTGAAGTCTCAACAATCACAGCAGCAGGTGAAGACCCACACGGCGATGGTCACTTTAAAATATGTCCACAGGGCCGACCCCGTGGCTTAGCGGTTAAGTGCGCGTGCGGCGGCCCAGGTTCAGATCCCGGGCGCGCACCGACGCACCGCTTCTCCGGCCATGCTGAGGCAGCATCCCACATACAGCAACTAGAAGGATGTGCAACTATGACATACAACTATCTACCGGGGCTTTGGGGAGAAAAAGGAGGAGGATTGGCAATAGATATTAGCTCAGAGCTGGTCTTCCTCAGCAAAAGAGGAGGATTAGCATGGATGTTAGCTCAGGGCTGATCTCCCTCACAAAAAAATAAAATATGTCCACAAATTCTTTGCTACAAATTAGGGACTGAATTCCCCTCTCTTGAGTGTGGGCTGTACTTAGTGATTTGTTTCTAATGAGTAGAATGTGGCAAAAATGACAGTATGACATCTGAGAGTAGGTTATAAGACACATGACGGCTTCCATCTCTCGCTCGGCTTACCTGTTTTGGGGGAAGCTGACATTCAGGCAGCCCTACAGAGAAGCCCTCGTGATGAGTCTCCTGCCAAGAGCCACGTGAGTGGACCTTCTGGAAGCAGGTCCTCCAGCCCCAGTCAAGCCTTCAGATGACTGCAGCCTTATGAGAAGCGGAACCAGAACCATCAAGCTAAGCTACTTCTGAACTCCTAGCCCTCAGAAAGTGTGAGATAATAAATGTGTGTTGTTTTAAGCCACTCTTTTGTGGGGTAATTTGTTACACAGCAATAGATAATTAGTACACTTGCACGCTCATATCCCATCCACCAAACTAGGTTCTTCACAGCTTTGGCACCGGGGACCCTTGAGCCAAATGCTAGACAGAGCATCCATCTCAGATCCCAGCCACCTCCTTTCCCACCTTGGAGAACTGGGCTGGACAACGAGGAAGAAATCGTGAGCACTCCCTCACCTTTCTTCCTACAAGTTCCGGATCCTGACACTAATGGCCAGCTGGGTCCCTGCTTCCTCTCCTCTGGACCCTGCCCTGGCCCCACTTCCTTCTGTAGCATCCCAGATGCCCTCAAGCGGGCCACCCTCATCTGAGAGTGGATGTCCGTCCAAATGGCCCCCGAGCCCCCAGCCTTCCTGGCCCACCCAGCCAGCCTCTCTGGGCGGGAGGTGGTGGAAGCCCCCAGGCAACTGTGGAGGTTCTCCCTGCAGTCTGAGGACACTAGGTGGGTGCTGGAGGATGGGCAGCGTGGTGGGAGAAGTTGGGTGTGGGTGGTCCCTGAATGAGGATCATTCCTTGGTCCTAGGATGCATCTGTTGGGGCTGGCGAGGGGTAGTTGGCAGGAGGAAGAAGGGAAAAGGGTCAGCCCTCTCACCTTATTTCTTGTCAAATAGCCAGGGGTCTGCCTGGAGAGTGGCCTCCCGTGTGTGCATTTCCGCTGTTCCTGCCAGGCCTGTCACGCCCTGGCCATCGACCCAGTCCAGCCCTCCAGGCTCTGGGCTGTGGCTGCTTCAACACGTTCCCCTCCTCTCCTCCCAGTGTCCTCAGTGCCAGGCCAAAGAAGACAGCTTTATAACGTCCTCTGTGCTCTGAGCCTTCTTCCACCCCCACCAAGATCTAACCCACCAATCCTACCCCTTGTGTGTGGAAAAGGATCCCCCGAGGCTCATCCACCCAGGATTAATTCAGAAAAACTAAGTCCAGAAACACGTCCAGACACACTCCCTCCCTTTGCGTCTCTGGTCCCATCTAGTTTCTGCTCTGGTCTTGTCTAGTGGAGCTCAGCTCGGTCCCCTCAGCTGCAGCCCTGATGGCGACCGTGGCCCAGAGGCTCCTGGAAAAGGAACACTTGACCCTTCATCTTCCTGTTCAATATCTCAGACGTTCGGGGGCTCTCAGGACCTTGTTTAATGCACAGCCCCAGGCCCATACCCTCAAAATTAGCCTCTACACACCAGGCGCCCCAGAGCGCGGCCTTTCCTGCTGCAGTGAGCCCCACGTCCTCGTGGTGCTCCCCAGGGAAGGCGGCACTGGCGGGACAGCCTGCCCTGCCTTGGCTTACAGTTGACACCAGAGTGCCACTGTCGATCCAGGACAGCCGCCTCCTGGGGGCTGGAACACTGGAGGAGGGAGAGGACGTGAAAGGCTCTGTGTTGAGGGTCAGTCCCTGCCGGCTGCTCAGCATCTGCCACCTGTGAACCGTGAGCTGTAAGGATAGTGTCCTGTGGAGGGATTCACAGCGGTGATCAGATGCGCGCTGGGAAAGGACCTCTGCTCCCTAGGGGGCCATCTGAGCCTAGTCCAACTGCCTGTCCCCTGGAGGGAAGCATCTAGGCTCATCTCTTACCTTGACTGTGGGTGCAAGAGGAGACTGGATCTTGGGTGAAGTCACCCCTCTGGTGTTTAAGCTCCTTGGCGGTCCTTTCCCATGCATCTGAGATGCTCTCCACATCCCCTCCAGTGAGCACGTTCCGAACACCCCATCCTGCGGTGAGAAGCGATGCGCCCTCCACTGTGCGAGCATCCTCACACGGCCACAGGCTGCCTTGTGGGCTGACTGGTAGCCCCAAAGGTCGCAGGTCCTCATCCCTGGAGCCTGTGAGTGTTACCCTCTCTGCTAGAGGTTTTGCAGGCGTGATTGAGTTAAGGCTCTGGCGATGGAGAGAGCATCCTAGATGATCCAGCTGGGTCCTAAATGCCATCACACCTGTGCTTATAAGAGAGCGGCAGAGGAAGAATCTTCACACAAGAGAAGGCGATGTGAAGGTTGGGGCAGAGATTGGAGTGATGAGGCCACAAGTCAAAGAACACCTGGGCCACCAGACACCAGAAGAGGCAAAGGATGGATTCTGTCCTAGGGCCTCCGGAGGGAGTGCGGCTCTGTTGACACACTGATGTAGTCCAGTGAAACTGACTTGGGACTTCTGGCCCCTAGAAGTGTGAGGGAATAAAGTTCTGTTGTTTTAAGCCACCAAGTTTGTAGTAGTTTATTACAGCAGCACAGGAATCTAAT